ATGGTGGTATGGCACTTGCAACACATTTAGGACAAATGAGTGCTGGAGAGAGAGAGAGAGAGAGAGAGAGAGAGAGAGAGTTTTCATTCCTCTTTTCTAAAGGCCATGAGGAGAAAAAGGAGAGGGACAGGATGATAATCTTATCTGTGGTCCAATGTTTCTATTGCGTGTCTTCCAGAGTTTGTGTGATAACCTCACAATACATTGTCAACTTTGAATTTAAAAAAAGAGAATTGGTGGTGTTTATAATTAATAAAGCGATGTATTCTATCATTTATATTTATTTCTTTGTTTGTACAGTGTATGATGTTTTATTATAGGCGTCGGTAGTCTAGTGGTTAGGCTAACGGACTCGTAATCGTGAGGTTTTGGGTTCGGGGGTTCGAGCCGTGGGCCCGACGTTGTGTCTTTGGAAAAGGCACTTTACACGAATTTTCCCCACTTCACCCAGGTGAGAATGGGTACCCAGCTATAGAGACAATACAAATGCTATTCATTATTTATTATTATTATTATTACTATACATGTTGTGGACAGATTGTTTTCATCTTGTTTATGAACCAGCATCTGTGTTGTAGCGGTCCGGCACTTACCTGTTGTATGCAAGAGACCTGAGTTCAGTTTCCTCACTCCCTCACCCTCCTTCCCTCCCTCCCTCCCTCCCTCCCCCCCCTCTTTAGTATCTCAGTTTTCTGCTGGAATGTTGCATCCTTCTCAGTCAGCTCAGCTTGGTTCTGATGGCCAGAGATGAAAAGCCACCTCCTAAATGAACTTTCATGTGTTGATGGGGGGCGTAATAACACCTACATTGTAACGAAAAGATCAATTTTTGTTTACGAAAACTGACTATAATATAATATATCCTGTCACTGGACAGTGAGCTCAAACATTGTCTGTGGTGTTGCGGTTAGATACTTCACTTTCACAAGCAGATGACTTGAGTTCATTCTTGTGTGGGAAAAAGTTTTATTGAGTATCTCAGTCTTTTCTACTGGAATGTATCCCTTGGGGTCCGCCTCTCAAGTGATCTAGATTATTAAAGATCATCATCATCATCATCATCATCATCATCATCATCATCATCATCATCATCATCGTCATCGTCATCGTCATCACCTTTTCCTTTTCCTCCTCTCAGTTCAATCCGAATTTCGATTTCGCAATGGGTCTGTTAGCCATCTCTACAGACTTGAGGCATGTTCTTTTTGTATAGGTGGTGTAGTGCTCAGTTCTGGTCTCATAGCGCAGCGCTTCTGTTGGTGTTGTTTTCAGCTGACCTGATACAAGTCGGAGGGCTTTGTTTTGTATTCTGTCCAGGGCCTTTGCACTAGTCTCACTCAGCCAAGGCTGCCATGCTGGGGCAGCATAATCCATTTTGCTTTTCACAAACATTTGATATACTTTCTTGAGCGACTCCTTACCCCTGCCCCATTTTGAGTTGCTGACATCTCCGATAACCTTCATTTTTGAGGTTGCACTTTTGGACACCTCAATGTGCTAGTTGAAGGTTAGTTGTCTATACAGGTAGACGCCCAGCAAACGTGGAGTGGGGTTGAATGGTATCCTTTTCCCTTCGATCTGAATTATTGGTTGCCACGTTGCCTCCTTCACCCATGTTGAGAAGAAGCAACCTCACTCTTGGTTGCCTTCAAGGTAAGCTTCCATTCATTGCTCCATTTCACAACCATGTCCACAATCAACTGTGTCGCTTCATTTGCCTTTTCTCTCTTTGCGTGACTGGCCATTATTGTGCAGTCATCAGTGATCATGGAGTAGATAAGCTTGGCGGAGGTTAGTTGTTGTGAGTCAGGGTTTGGGAGGGATTCTGCCAGATTGTTTATGAAGAATATAAACAGCAGCGCTGATAGTACAGCTGCTTGGGGAAGCCCTTGCTTGAAATTCTGGCTCTTGTTTGTTTCTCCATTCAGGCGAACACTGGCTTGTCTGTTTCTTCGGAAACCATGGATCCATCTGATTGCACGCAACGGAACTCCCTTGTCAGCCATTGACAGTAATAGTCTTTCACGCCAAACCGTATCATATGCCTTGGAGTAGTCCAGCAGGACTAGGACAGATCGATGGAATGTGGACTTTTGTTGAAAACCATCCTCAATTCCTTGACAGATTCTGATGATCAAGGTTATGGCCAGGAACAAATTACTTTCCACCTTGTTGATCCAGCAATAAAAGTTTATTTTTTTATATTTAGACAGCGACTCCACGCCCCCCCCCCCTCGCTTTCTTCCCTCACACATGTCAGTGTTAGCTTGCAGTTGCAGTTTTCCTCACAAAACTGTTCAGACACTAGACGTCTCCACATACGTGCTGCTGTTGAGCAAAAATAAACAAATAAAATAGAATAAAAAATACTAATTTTGCTGAGGTTGACGTCCATTCTTGCTCTCTAACCGTTTGCTCTGTCGTTTGCTTTCGTCTCTACTTTCTGCCCCCCCCCCTTTTTTTTTGCTCCCTCGGCTGGACGACTCTCTCTCTGCAGCCTTTCTACTGCAACTCTTTGGTTCCTTCTTACTGCTGTCTTTCAGCCACACCCCTATCTCAGGGTAGATAAGATCTGCACCTAGCTTTCCCAGATAAGGGCTAAAAACCTCGTAGATCCCGTGTGTAAGTTGCACACGTTAATTATCCCTTGGTGGTCCAAAATCAATATACGAGAAGGCTTCGACCGCCACCCGGGCAAAATTCAAAATTACTTCATACCAAACTGATAATGTTTAATGTGTCCCGCGCGCTCATATGCCTTGCACACGGTATGCAGTTGTGAGCGCCGTAAAACTTTTAATGAAAACAAAAAGACCAACTACTAACTCGCTGACCACCGGTCTCTGTGGTGTAGCGGTTTAGGTGCTCCGTTGTCGCACGCAGAAGATCTAGCTCGATTCCCGAGTGAGCAGAACATTTTTATGGAGTATCTCTGTCTTTCTGCTGGGATGTTGTATCCTTCTCTGCCCGGGTTGGCCCTGACAGACAGGGTGGATACTGGAAGTCCGACTCCACATCATCATCCGGTGCCTTGCCGACTGGTGTGGGCGATCACGGACCTCCACTTCACTCTGTCTTGCGTTGCAGCAATGGTGTCTATTGTTCTTGCTGCTCCCAACCATGTTGTCATCTTGTCTAGTATCTGCCTCTCTTTCCATCAAACTTGCCTGTTGTTAACAATATTCTCCAATGCTTCTTTCTTCCTTGACGTTCTTGGGAAAGAATATAGCAGTGGTTTCCCCTTACTTTCTGCTGGATTTTTGTACGGTTTACGCCGCTAGCCTTTGTCCAAAAGGACTAACCCACAAGGCAGTGGGGGCAGGTGGTAGGTTTTGACGCCTCACTCTCGTCTGCTGACTGCCCCTTTACTGAGCAAATGAGGCGTCCAACTCCTAAATGATCTAAATTGTCTGTTTGGGGGCTTAAGAAACCTTACATAAAAAGCAACCCCCCAACCCCCCCCCGAAAAA